TCCGATCCAAGAGCATGGGATGTCCTTCCATTTTTAGGCATCATACTCAATTTCTGTTTTTCAGCTTTTCATAGTTTCCCTGCGAGGGGTCTTCCACCTCTTTGGTTAGACTTATTCCTAGCTATCGTGCTTATTTTGTGGCGTTGTGAGTCGGATTGCTTTCTTCAGTTCTGTCTCAGTCTGTTCAGTGCTGATGTATAAAAATGCTATAGGTTTTTGCACATTGCCTTTGTATCCTGCAGCTTCACTGAATTCTGGGAGTTTTTCCATAGATCCCTTTGGGTTGTCTATGTATATAATCATTTCACCTGCAAATAGGGAGATTTAACTTCTTTTCCTATCTGAATACCTTTCATTGGGTTGTTGGAAAAGCCACGACGTCTTTTTTCTGTGTAAGTACGTAAATCATGACTTTCCGACAGTGCAGTCTGTTGCCTGATTGCGTCGTCTGGGTCTCTTCCGATCCAAGAGCATGGGATGTCCTTCCATTTTTTGGTATCATACTTAATTTCTTTTTTTCAGGTTTTAGCTTTTCCCGTTCACAGTACGTCTGTTGTATATGACCTTTGTTATGTTGAATGTCCCTTCTTCCTGATTCTTCTACCCTTCTACTCTTTTGCTGAAAGTCTTGATTATGAAAAACTGTTGTATTTTATCAAATGCTTTTCCTGCTTCTATAGGTAGAATCATATGATTTTTATCTTCCTTTCTGTTAATGTAGTGTATTATATTATGTTTATTGCTTTATGTATGTTGAAGCACCCTTGCATCCCTGGGATAAAGCCTACCTGGTCTTGGTGTATAATCTTCTTGCTAACGTTGTTGGATTTGGTTTGCTAGTATCTTGTTGAAAAATTTTCTGTCGGTATTCATTAGTGATATTGGTCTATGGTTTTGTGTGTGTGTTTTTTTTGTTTTGTTTTGTTTTGTTTTTTTGTTTTGCCATAAAGTGTGCGTGCTTGCTAGAGAGAGAGAGACGGGGGGGAAAGTGAGAATCATCCCCTAGGGAGATGGCCATGCCACAATCCCTTCTCCTCCATTCTTATCTTAGGACTTTGGGCATGCACCCAGCATGATTTTCAAGCCACCAAGTGTGGGATGTGGACCATCCTCAGCCATGTAGGATTCCAGAGCTTTACCCACTGTGCCACCTGGTGGTCCCCAGTCTGTAGTTTCTTTGTTATGTCCTTGTCTGGTTTTGTAATCAAGGTAATAGAGGCTTCATAGATACTCCCCTGGGTATGGCGGGCACAAGAGAGCAGGGACGTGGTGGAAAATATGCCCTGTATCTCTCCGTCCCACCTCTGTGCTCATACAGATTTTCTCTTGGTTGTTTTGTTTTGTTAGAGAGAAGAATATTTGCTATAGGGCATGCGTGCTCCCTAGAGACAGAGAGCCAGAAAGCTAGGAATCACCCCCAAGAGGGGATGGCCATGCTGCAGTCCTCTCTCCTCCGTTTTCCCCTCAGGGTTTTGGGCTTGCATGCATACGCACGTGCCCAGCATCAGTTTTGAGCCGCAGGTGACCAGGTTGGAGTCCAGTGCCTGAACCACTGTGCCACCCGCTGGCCCTCCTCTTATATGACCATCTTAGTGGAAATGAGAATGGGAGTGGGCATGTAAGAATCTCATCAAAGGCATTGTTTTTTTTTTTCTTTTTTTTTAATTGCCATAAATGTGAGTGCTTGCCAGAGAGACAGAGAGAGGGCAAAGGAAAATGCACCTGTAACAGGGCGTGGTCCCACTGCAACCCCTTCTCCTCCGTGTCTCCATCCTGTTGTGATTTGAGGCACACACACACACGCACGCACACACACACATGCACACGCCTGGCTTGTTTCTCAGGTCGTCAGGGCTGGGATTCAAACTGTGGTTGTCCACGTGGGATCTGGCTCCCTTAACCATGAGGTTATAGAGCTGGCCTGGACATGAGATTTGCACATTGCTCAGTGGGGTACTTAATTAAAAGGTTTTAGGCCAGACCCTGAGCTGCCGAAGGAGCAGGACCACATTTCTTTCAACACAGCTTTTCTAATACATGTTGGCAGAGTCTGTGCATAAATTCAGAAATTTTTATTTTACTCCTTTTTTTTTTTTTTCATAGGAATTCCAAAAAAGAACTAAATGATATCCGATTTGAATTTACTCCTGGGAGAGGTAAGGCATCAGAAAGATTGGAAACAAGATAAAAAACTTCTGGGTTGTTATTTAATAGATTTGTTCTGAAACGTTTCCCTCTAGATATGTTTTCTTTTTAGAGGGTGATAAGACTTTTTTTTATTTTTAAGGTTTTGGGGGACATAGGAATAAAATCCAAATGCAGTTTACTTACTACTCGCCCCATTTAGAAAGCCTGCTAAAATAATACCAGCAGTAATGACTTTAACCTTACTGACTGCTTACCAGGCCCCAGGCCAGGCTTACCTGCTGAATGCTCACACCAGCCCCTACGGCAACATCATCCCCACTTTACAGACGATGGCGTGAAGGCCTAGAGAGAGGCGGAGTGCCCTGTTCAGGTCGTACCTGGATGATGGATACCGAAAGTCAGCCGGGTCTGGCTGAGTCCAGAGTTCTTGCTGTTGGCACTGGGTGCGGTTGTCCTGCGGGATAGCAGAGAAGGAACCCAGCCCGCAGCCCCTCAGCCTGTGAGGCGTGCATTCTCAGTGCACACTTCGCCCTGGAGCAAGGCTTGTTTTCCTCCTCGCCTTCGCTACTCCGTTCTGGTTTGGGGAGTGGCCTGCAGCCTGCGGGTCTGTCCCGTGCTCCACACTCACTCCCTCTCGCTGTCCTCGTCCTCGGCAGACAGATGCAGAGGTGCGGGCCGTATCTGGTTTCTTTTCAAAGCCGGACAGAGTCACGTCTTCAGGAATTTAAACTGCTGGTCATCAGTCACCCACCCCAGGGACCCTCTGCTCCCTCTGAGGGCTGAGTGTCCTGTCCCAGAAGCCAGCCCCCCTGAACCCGCTGAGGACGAGGGTGTAGATGGGGGCGTTCTCCTTTAGCTAAAAGCGTGGAGTATAGTTGCCAAGGAGAAGAGATTGCAGTTTGTCCTCGTAGGTTTACACTGAGAATAAATCTCTGTCCTGCTAGCCCTGGGCTGGCAGTGTCAGTTCTCAGAACTCAGAGAGCTCCGGTCCCTAGTGTCCCTATAGGGTGCTTTTCTTTCTTTTTTTTTTTTTTTTGAGAGATTTTTGCTATAGGGCGCGTGCGCTCGCCAGAAAGACAGAGAGAGACAGAGAGACAGAAAGCAAGAAATCACCCCCCAGGGGGGATGGCCACACCGCAATCCCTTCTCCTCCATTCTCCTCTCGGGATCTTGGGCACGCACGCACACACGCCTGGCGTGAGTTTAAGCCACCGGGTCCGGGATGCGAACTGCGGTCGACTACATGGGAGTCCAGCGACACAGCCATTACACTAACTGCTGGTTCCCTGGGGTGCTTTTCTGACAGGGGCCTGAGCCCCATCAGATGGCACCATTCAGAGAGTCAGGTTTACACTGAACTGGTATCTGCCACCTGGTTCGTGTGGTTCTCTACCCAGACCTGTGAGAATTCCTCCCTGCGAGACCCCTAAGGGTATGGAAACTCCGTGCTGGAGGAGGACCCTGCCTCCCGTCGTGGGCCTGTGGATTTAGTGGATCGAGTAGCTGGCCTGGGTCTGGCAGTGCCGCACCCACAGCGCTCTGAGGATCAGTGTGAAATGCACGTGTTCTTTGTCCCTGCAGATACGGCGGAGGGCGTCTCTCAGGAACTCATTTCTGCCGGCCTGGTCGACGGAAGGGACTTAGTAATAGGTAACGCCGCCGTCCGTGCCATGCCCCGCTGCTCTGTCTGTGTCCTCCGTACCTAGAAACCCGGAGTCCATTGCACTGAGTGGTTCTGAGGGTCTTGAAATGGTTCTCAGCTTTGCTGAAACTACAGGCATTGTGGGCATTTCTCTACCAAAGGAAGGGAGAGAGGAGAGAGAGAGAAAGAGAGAGAGAGA